ATCTGGTCTACCTCAAAGGGCTGACATGCTAGTATTTGGATCTTCAATCATCAGGAGAAACATATAAGTTTCTTTACATTCAATTATTGAAAAGCATGCTCCAATGTTATGAAAATCATTTTAGCACTGCATTTATTAATTTGAGAGCCACTTGACTCTAAAACAATTTTGTATAGCTCATTTTTTATTTTAAAAAAGGGACTTATGTGTCCAGACAAAACACACCTTAACAAAGCAATCAGGTGTACTACATGCTATAAACCTTAAGGAGAACAGTCAGATTTTTAAGGACTTTTGGAATATTATTAGGGCAGTAGTACATGGAAATCTGGGATTAATATCCTTTCAGAAAACAGACACAATATCAGAGGAAGCATTCCTCCAAGACTCCAGCAGATGGCATTATTTAATTACGGGGATCTGGAATACACCAACCCTACCCAATCTTAGCATGGGAACTAAACCTTAGGAATTAAATGGTACTTCGAATAACATATCACTATATCATGACAAGATTTATAGGTGATAAACAGCAGTTTGAACTATAACCGTTCAAAATAGCTTGCAGTTCCCAAACTAATTCTGAATCTGTCTAATGTATATTAAAATCAATTGTCTAGACAAGTAAGAGCATGTGCAGGATGACATAATCCTGAAAATGCCATATCTTGCATTATTACACCAATCCTGAAACAGTATATAATCACAGGATTTGTATAACCACATTATTGAAATTGTGTTGCTAAGCTGCTGCTTGGGAAACTACATACATAAATTGTTTTAAAACAAAAGAAACTGACAGAAAAGATAAAGTTAATATTTTAGCTTTGGCTGAAGTAAATTTAGCAATTTCATATTTAAACTGATAAAGTGATAATTTACTCAAACAAAGCTCCTGTTATTAAACCTGGCATATAACTATAAGAAATTCTATAAAAAAAAACACTGAAAAATGGAAATTTATTTATAACAAAACTATTTAAAATAACACTCTTGCTCTATATAATGTTATGTCCATCATTAAAGCTGTTTGTTGCCCCAAAACTCAACTTGAATAATTTCAGATTAGAATGAGAATTGATTATTCTAGATTTATTGTTGATACTAACCTAGTATCTGTTGACTATCTCAAAGTATCTGTGGGGCAAAGGAAAAAAATTCTGAATGTTCAATGCTAGATTTTAACATTAATTAATTTCCTGATCAATAACAGAAATATTTGGGGAGAATAATTTTTTCTTGCCTTTTAAGATTGCTTCTCAATTTTTTTTAGTTCTTTATGTCATCTAATATTCAGAGCACATTCAGTCAGTATTATGACAGTATAAGATAAATCAGCCTTTTCCAAGATGATACCTTTCAAATGAGCTAGACTGCAACTCTTAGTTGCAGTCCAACACACCTATAGGATACCAGCCTTGAGGATTACTGGTTAGATTGTCCATTTGAACCTGCCTGAGTCTTAACACTGGGGGGAACCCCCCCAACTTGGATTTGTCATTAAAAATATCTTGACAGAATTACTTTTTAACAGCATTGATTTTTGATATGATATGATATGATATGATAGGTTCAAACTTGGATAGCAAGATGGGCGGCATATAAATTTAACAAATAAATAATAATAAAAACAATTATTTTAAAAATAATCTATTTATATAATTACAATAAAATATTAGTAACTATAAAATTTGGGAGCATCAAATCAGTATTTAAAGAATGTGAGAGAAGTTTCTGTAATAAATTTTATATATGTATGTGTCCAAAAAGGGAAGAAAAAGTGGTTAATATTCTTCCAATTGTCAGGCACAGATACAATCTTCCCATGTTAAATAAGTCACATAGCTATTCCATAAATAAGCCAGATTTATATGTTAATATTTATACAGTTACAATATCTACAAACTCAGTCATATTTGAATAGCATTTTATTCAAAACCTAAAATGTAACTGATACAGATATGTAGTCTAAGATGACATACATTTAAGAAAAATATGGTATCTTGGACTAAAAGTTTTGATAACTCTTAAAAATATTACTCTTAAACATGTTGCTGGATCTATGTCAACCATCTCTGGCAAGACAGTATTTTTCTCATAGGAAACAATAATTAAACTAGTGTCAGTTTATAAAAATATCTTTCCTGTACTATAAAAATACATAGGGAGAAAGTACATTCTTCTAAATATTAACGCAAGTATGTTTCCAGAGTTAGAGCAACTCAGGTAATAATGTCCAAACTGTTATATATCAGTATGTCTTGAACTTGGTTTTACAAGTTTTTTTCAGCTTAATTTTGGCTACAGTGCATTACCAAACACTCTTTTATGAAATCAGTTAAAAATCTAGGGTTGCATTTTATATATTAAACCTGATTTAATCTTAGTTATTTTTAACTTTAATTAAATGTTATGATTTAGTATGTTCCATGAACCTAGCCTGTTCAATTAGCTTACAGTTCAGTGTATTGTGCAACCTCTAGAAAATAAATTAAGGCAGTAATCAAATGAAGTACATGGATATACTTAGCATATCAAGTTCAAGATGAGAAGAGTTAATAAAATACACAAGTTATTCAAGCAGCTGCTAATCAATTATTTCTTTTAAATACTGTAGCCTTTTTCCACAGAAACATATAGCAACAATACAAAACCTCATATTAAGAATAAAAATACATGGTCTTGACATTTTTAGGGAATTAAATAATACGGAATTATTAATAAAATATTTGTTCATGAAATAATTAAAAAATAATCTTTAAACAAAACATTGCTTTTTTAGTGTAAACTAGAATAAAAGTCATAATATTTTCACTGACTGGGATCCAGAAGACTACATAGATTTCAACATTTTCACTGAAGTGTTTTACACACCCACACACCCATAGACACACAAGTTTTTTTCTGCAACTTCTTGTACCATGAAAAATTGTTCCTACATTATTGTTGCTGCTGTTATATTTTTCTATGTGATGAAATTCTCTGAGTGGTTTGCAAAGTTATTTAAGATGTTAATAACAATAACATATTAATATTAATTATTAAAATCCATATGAAGCAAATATTATTAAAATATAATATGTCAGTGAAATGAAGAAGCTTAAAATCAAAAACTAATTACAAAAATGTTTGGAAGCATTAGGGCAATGGCTTTAGATCAGTGGTTCTCAACCTTTTTAATGCCGCGACCCCCAACCGGTCATAAGTTGAAGACTACTCAACCGATCGTAAGTCGAGGACTACTCAACTGGTGCAGCACCATTTGCAGAATGGGACTTTTGGCGGGCTCAGGCTGAGACAGCCTGGAAAATTCCTATTGGCTTTTGAAAGCCAATAGAATTAGACTCTATTCAAGAGAGTTTATTCTATTGGCTTTCAAAAGCCAATAGAATAAAAGGGAGTAGCACAGCTAAGGAAAAGGGGAAAAAATGGCAGACTGCATTGTTTGGTGACCCCCGTGAAATGGTTGTTTGACCCCAAATGGGGTCCTGACCCACAGGTTGAGAACCACTGCTTTAGATTAACACTGAAGAAAGAGAAATTAATGTTGAAGGGGACATCATTCCATAGGTATATCTCACTGTTGGGAAAACATACTTCTACGTATCCATCCACTAATTTCATATATAGTTCTTTAATAAGATAGCAGGTTCTTGTGCACGCTTTAAATGTAAATAGGCAAAAATGATTTAATTAATAGGAATGGTCTTCTGATTTCACAAATGTGCATTTGAAAAATTTCTTGGTACTAAGTTTTCTGTTCCTAAAGCATTCTTATGGATCTCTTAAGCAGCATGTATGCTATAAAATTCTATACATAATTTACATGATGAGCACTGTTAGACTAGCACTATTAGATTAGATTAGCACTGTTAGATTAACACTGTTTTACTAGCACTAGTACTGTTAGACTAGCACTGATAATGTTACCTAGTTTGGGTAATGAAACATCTGCAAGAAAACAACTAAGCTCAGAGAGCACCAAGGACCTTTCTTTTCAACCCTGACCTACAAATATTCTCCTTTATTGGTAATTTACGTTATCTTTGAAGCAAATACATGATGTGTAATAGTGTGGACTTTATGATGAAGATGTACATATTTAATTTCATAGAAAAGAAATTCATTTTTAAGTTAGCTTACATTTGTGCTATTTAACTGAATAAAAGACACTATCCATGTAACCGTTTAAATATATATCAATCATATATATCAATTATAGATAGTCCTTGACTTATGACCATAACTGAGCCCAAAATTTGTTGCTAAGTGAGACAGTTATTAAGTGATTTTTTCCCCATTTTATGACTTTTCTTACCACAGTTGCTAAGTGAATTACTGCAGTTGTTAAATTAGTAACATGGTTGTTAAATGAATCTGGCTTCTCCATTGACTTAGTTTGTCAGAAGGTCACAAAAGGTGATTACATGATCCAGAGATACTGCAATTATCATAAATATGAACCAGTTGCTAAACATACAAATTTTGATTACGTGACCATGGGATGCTGCAATGATCATAAGTGTGAAAAATGATCATAAGTCACTTTTTTTCAGTGATGTTGTAACTTTCAAACAGTCATTAAATGAACTGTTTTAAGTCAAGGACTATCTGTACAAATTGGTATACATACCAAATCAATTATTCAACTCATTAATTGATATTTAAATCTAATTTTGCAGAAATATATGTAAAATAAAGAATATTAACTCTCACAAAAGTACCTTCAGCAAATGAATGGAAAATGCAAACTTTCAAATTATTTTAATTTTAGTTGATTTACCCCAATGTTATACTAATTGTTGAAAGAGCACTTAATTTCATTAATGCAAAAATCACTGTGATTTCATTAAAAAGTTCTTTAACAGTGTGGATGTAAAATATATTCAAATAATAAAATTTACTAGATAAATGAAGAATTATGATATTATGTTCATAATTATATATTAACATTTAAGAATATATTAAAGAATTGAGCAGTAGCATAATTAACACTATACCTTGATTTCTTCTATTTCATCTGGCACTATCTTGTATGCAGATACAGTTCCACCTAATCTGAAATTTGGAGAAGAAAACATTCTCAAAACCAGTAACACATCAGTAAACATATGAAGAAATAAATATGTTAATATTAACAACAAAAACTATCACTGTGATTAACAACTAGGATGAAACTTGGTTGGCCAAGGAATTTATGCATAGCAGCAAGAATGTATATCTTGAATAAAAATAAGTGAGGCTTATGTGTTACCAGATGTAGCGGGTATTTTTTCACAGAAAGGTTTAATGAGGAGCTTACTACAATTAGGTTTGAAATGTTGAATATATATTTGCTGAATTGCTTATTTGCATATTACAAATGTTTCTTTACCATTTTCGTTTTGACATGTGCAAGCAGCAGATGTTAACAAATAGTAGAAGCAGCTTGAGCATTATTTAAGTCTTATGTGTGAAAATACAGTGTGTTGTTTGGCATTCCACTTCAACAGTATCAAAAAATGGAGGCTCAACTGTAACCTATTAATATAACTAATACAGTATGTCTCAAATGTCATGCCTTCTATTTAAGAGGTCTTCCATATTTACTCCATAGAAGATTCACATTCAGACTGTTTGCCCAACTTTGGCAATGGATCAGTGTATCCTTTCTATACCTTCTTGGTACAGAAACTATTCCATGAACCTTGAAGGTTTAAAGGATAGCTTCCCTAAAATTTCTCCTATGCCTCAGATACACAGCAACATGAGACTTGAACAAATCTTCACTACTTATGAATAGTGTAAGAATTAAAGCCAGCATCACATATACTGAAAATGTTACAAGATCTGTTCTAGTATGTCACATTAGAATTGTAAAGAGTTGTTTTTCAAAATACTATGCGATAGCTCCAAAACACTATTAACCCATTGTTTATAATACTAGGCTGTGCTAGTCTTACCTGAACATACTCCCTATACACCTAAGTACTTTGTACCTTTGTACTATTGCTTCGTCCAGTTCACATGGCAACCATCTATAGTTCTAAGAAACACGTTGTGTTCTCTGAATCAATTCTTGTTAAGTCTTCTTACAGGTCTTATTATATTCCATATGCTGGACAAACTGAAATCTTTCAAATCAAATCATTGCTCTTTATTACTTGTTTTGAGTCACACATAATCCAAGTTTCATACATTTCTTCATATCTTCACTTAAATACATAGCCAAGATACACCTACCAACCCTTAAATATATATGATAAATACATAAAATAAAGGTATGGTTTAAGAAGCTCTGGAATCTGCTGAATAAGGATATGTCAATGATAATGATGTTTGAGGAGACTCAAAGGATTGAGCAGACTAGGGTAGTGACTGATTGAGGGAAAGAGAAAATGTCTTTAGCAAAATGGCATTCCATTGTAAGAAATTTGTTCAAGTATTATGCTATGAGGATTGTATTCCATCTTTGCTTTGTAATCCTTTTCTTGGTATGTTACTCTTTTTTGGCCTCAGGTAATTGTCTCCTGCAAGCTTATGTAATTATTTATTAAATTTTTATCTCATTTTACCTCTGGTCAACTCTAATGCTTCTGCCTTCTATTTTCCTCACAATACGGGAGATGATTTGGGTTGGACTGAGAGAGAATGACTGGCCCAACATCATCCAGTTGGTTTTTATGTTCAAGGGAGGACCAGAATTCATGGTTTACCTGTTTCTAGCCCAGCTCCTTGTCACCACATCATACTGGCTCTCAAAAGTTGCACTTGAGGGTTCACCTTTTTTATATTTTATTAATTAACTGTGTACAATATTATGGATGGTAATACTGAGTTGAAGATAGTTACACAGACCATCAGGGGCAGGCACCAGATGACCAGTTTCATTTGTTTTGGAAATGTCAGGTAGTCATATGTTATTCTATGAGGTTCAAATCATGAAATCATGATTTCAATTCAAGGAACTTCGTAGTTCAGATGGCTATACATACTGCATTGATAGATAGACAGACAGACAGACAGACAGACAGACACAGACAGACAACCTTTATTATTATCTTTTACTGTGGGCACAATGAAATTTAGTTGCTTGCTCTCAAAGTGTACACATACATAACACATATTTAAACATACTATATACAACATACGTATAGACCTACACCCTTACATATAAGTAACATATAAATATTAATCACTGTCCATCTTGAATATATAATGGAAGGAGGAAGCTTTAGAGTTCACAAGGTTAATATTGTCTGGAACAAAACTGACTGAATCTGGATGTTCCACTTCAGATACCATGAAGCCTCCTCCCAGAAGGTAACGAAAACAGATCAAGAAGAGAATGTGCAGTGTCCCAGACAATCTTGTGGACCCTGCTCAAGCAACGTTTATATGCTATGTCCTGGATGGGGGGGAGGGAAGTGCCAATAATATTTTCAGACATCCTCACCACTCTCTGCACAGTCTTCCTGTCTGAAGCAGTGATGCTTCCAAACCAGACTATGATGCTATATGACAGGATGCTTTCGATTGTCCCTCTGTAGAAAGTGATAAGGACAGGGGAAGTTAGATGTGCTTTTCTCATGTGATGTAGAAAATGCAGCCGCTGCTGTGCCTGCTTCACTAGTGTCTCACTGTTGAGTGACCAAGCCAGCTTACTTCTTAACTGCACACCCAGGAATTTGATGCTGGTAACCATCTCCACAGGTGAATCATTAATGCACAGATGAGTGTGGCTGTGCCTGCCTTTTTTGAAATTGACAATGATTTTTTTGGTTTTTCCAATGGTAAAACTAGGCTGTTTTCCTTAAACCAGTTCACCAAACCCTTAACCTCCTTGCGGTAAGCTTGAATATGGCCCATTACTGTTGTATCAGCCATTGATAGATTTATTCATTTATTTATTTGATTTGCAGAACTGCCCACCTCACAGCAGTGACTCTGAGTCATATGCAAAGATTCAAACCATCATAACAATATAACGTTCCATGAAAAGTAACGTTCCAACCAAAAAAGTCACATTACCAGCAGACCTCATCTAATTGTCTGGCCCACATCCCTGGGAAACAGCCAGTCCTTCAAAGACTTATGGATCTCTAGGGGAATGCAGTTCCACAGGGTAGGCACGACTCAAAGGTTCAACAAGATGACCATGTTTGATGATGGACCTGGAGCATGCCTTTGCTGCTGGACCTGGTGCGGTGGGGAGAAACAATGGGTGACAGACTGTCTTCCAATAGGCTGATCCTTTGCCATGTGGAGCTCTTTAGGCAGTATTCAGCATCTTCAATTGGATCTAGAAGACTATGGGGAGCCAGTGCAGCTTGATTGATGGTACCAAAGGCCACTCAGAGATCAAGGAGGACCACGATGGATATATTTTGAGCCTGCCAATGGGAATATTTAAGAAAGTCTCTTATCAATGCTCAGTCAAACTAAACCCTTTGTCTTTCTCTCACAGCATTCTAGGCATTTCTTATGCTTTTTCATCATCCAGACTGCCTCTGAAAATCAGGTAACTCTGCAAGATGCACACGCATTGGTAGTTCATCACAGGCAGGATCCAGACCAAGGACAAAAATCACCCTCTTATTTCTAAATAGTTACATTAACACTTTACTACAAATAATAAATATATGAATATTTGATGAATAATCTTTATATAGAAGTAATAATAAATGAATAATTATTATTATAGGAATTCTAATAAACCAAATAAATAACCAGACAGTAACATGGATTTTATGGACTTTTCTGGAGAGAAGAGAGAGCTAGAGGATAAAGAAAAGAATAGAACAGAAATTTATAACAAAAACAAATAAACATATTTTTATCAATGTTTGAAAACATAGACAAACATCTTGATAAAATGGACAGAATGAAGCTACAGAACAAAAATATGCTGCTATAGATAATTCTGATATAAGTTTGAAGGGAGATTCAATATGACAAGCAATGATATGAAGAAAGATATGGACATACAAGTAGACTTGATAAATAATTTATTCCCTAAAGGAGATGTACAGCCATTGAATCAGGAAATGGATTTGGATTATTTTTTCTTACTAGATATATAAAAGAATTTTGTTAAGGTCTTTAAGGATTTCATTGGAGGGATCAAACAAAAGGATAAAACAAATCTGTTAAAGTTCTGAAAGATTTGTGGCTACAAAAACACATGAACAAGAACACTTGCTCTGGGCTTTTTCTGAAGGGATAAAAAAGCGAGAACCCTTAAAAATTCAAAGAAGATCAATAGAATCAGCTTATATAATAATAATAATAATAATAATAATAATAATAATAATAATAATAATAATATTTGACAAGTATGTTGCAGGTGCTTGTCAAACAGACAAGCACCTGCAACATAACACCCCAGACTTAACAATTGTCGATAAGAAAGACAAAAAAGTCTGGATAGTGGACGTGGCAGTGCCTGGAGACAGCAGAATAGAAGAGAAAGAACTGGAGAAGATAACAAAATACAAAGACCTACAAATAGAAATAGAAAGACTGTGGCAAAAGCAAGCAAGGGTAGTACCAATAGTCATAGGCTCCTTGGGTGCAATCCCAAAACAACTGGAGCACCACTTGAACACCATTGGCATTGACAAATTCGCTATTAGTCAATTGCAAAAGGCGGCCTTATTAGGAACTGCTTCCATCCTGCGACGATATCTGTAATACCATCAAACATCCACATCTGCCTATCCCAGGTCCTGGGTAAGGACTCGATAGGTAGACAAAATGCCAAATCCAGTCTGAACATCTGGCTGACTGTGCGATGATTGATAATAATAATAATAAGTGCCTGGAGATAGCAGAACAGAAGAGAAAGAACTGGAGAAGATAACAAAATACAAAGACCTACAAATAGAAATAGAAAGACTGTGGCAAAAGCAAGCAAGGGTAGTACCAATAGTCATAGGTGCCTTGGGTGCAATCCCAAAACAACTGGAGCACCACTTGAACACCATTGGCATTGACAAATTCGCTATTAGTCAATTGCAAAAGGCAGCCATATTAGGAACTGCTTCCATCCTGCGACGATATCTGTAATACCATCAAGC